CTGTTTCTTTATATGTGTGTGTTTTGTATATATATATACAAAACACACACATACACACTTAAGACTCAGTGATCTATCACAGAAACAAACAACTGAGTAACGCATGTTTTTATTCATAAGTGAACCCTGAACATTTATCATAATACTAGAAAGAAAGGGATTGGTAGTAGTGGGAAACTGCTGGGAGGGGGGCACATAACATTAATAGGGGCACATAACATTAATAGAGTACCTGATCTCAAACCAGGCAAAGTGGGGACCAAAGGGAGGCCCAAACTTTACCTGTACAACGACCACCTATCTAGCTAATCCTGAATTGTACCCCACATCTTTAAAATAAATTTTTTTTTAAAAAGAGAAAGATGGGTTCTCATTATGTTGCCCAGGATGAAGTACTCAAACTGCTGGCCTCAAGGTATCCTCCCACAGACTCTTGAGTAGTTGGGACGTTATGCTAAAATGGTATTGTAGCCATTGCACCTGGCTTTTCAAAATATTTTTCATGTGGTTACCAGAATTTTTTTTCCCTCCCATCCCCCAAATTTTTTTTTTTAAAGAGACAAGGTCTCGCTGCTCTGTCATTCAGGCTGTACTACAGTGGCATGCTCATGGCTCACTGTAACCTTGAACTCCAAGCTCAATTCTCCCACCTTAGCTTCCTTCCTTTTTTTTTTTTTGAGTTGGAATCTCACTCTGTCACCCACAGAGGCACACTCACAACCATCCCAGCATCGACCTGCTGGGCTCAGGGGATCCTTTTGCCTCAGCCTCCAAGTAGCCAGAACTACAGGTGTGCGCTACTACATCTGGCAGTTCTTTTTATGTATCGTAGAGAAGAGATTTTACCAAGTTGTCTTGGCTGGTTTCGAACCCATGGGCACAGGAAATCCACTTGCCTTGGCCTCCCAGAGTGCTTGGATTACAAGCTGAGTCACCAAGCCCAGCCCCACCTCTGCTTCCCAAGCAGTTAGAACTGCAGGTGTGTGCCACCATGTCTAGCTAACTTTTAAAAAAACTTTTTTTCAGATACAGGGTCTTGCTTTGTTGCCCAAGCTGGTCTTAAACTCGTGGGTTCAAGTAACCCACTAATTTAGTCTCCCAAATTGCTGGGAATACAGGCACAAGCCACCACTGCCAGCAGAAAATTTTAAATTATATATGTGTCTCTCATTATATTTCTTTTTAGATAGCGTATCCTATACTCTCAAAGATCTATTCAAATTATGCTTATTAGATAAGACACACAAAAAATTTACAGTATAAAACCTGTGCTTTAAGCAGCTACATTTAAATAATTTCAAAAATGAGTTTCACTAAAAGAAGTTTCTCTTTTTTGTTGTTTTTTTGAGTTAGGTTCTCACTCTGTTGTTCACGCTGGAGTACAGTGGCACAATCATGGCTCACTGCAGTCTTGACCTCCTGGGCTCAGGAGATTCTCCCGCCCTCAGCCTCTCAAGTAGCTGGGACTATAGGTGTGCGCCACCATGCCTGGCTAATTTTTTTTTTTTTTTTTTTGGTAGAGTTGAGGTCTCACTATGTTGGTTGGGTTGGTCTTGAATTCCTGGACTCAAGCAATCTTCTCGCCTTGGCCTCCCAAAGTGCCGGGATAATAGGCATGAGCCACCGCACCCAGAAGAAAGAAATATTATTAATTTTAACATCTCTAGACATTTAAAAAAATAATCTCTTACAGCTTTTTATCTCCACTATTTAAAGAGTAATTTTAGTTAAAATCATATTCTATTATGGCTATAGACTTTGGTAACAATGACATACTGGATAACTGGTTCATTATTACAAGTGATTCAGAATGGAATAAGTAACCCATCTTATTCCAAAGTCAACTCTAAATCTGGAATAATGAAGTTTTTATGTATATCTCAAAACTTATTACTTAGTTTCCTTTAAAATATTCTATTAGTTGGCTGGGCTCAGTGGCTCGGTCTATAATCCCAGCTTTGGGAGGCCGAGGGGAGTGGATTGCCTGAGCCCATGCTTCGAGATCACCCCAGGAACCTAGGTGAGACCTAGTCTCTACAATAAACAAAAAAAAATTAACCAGGTGTGGTAGTGTGTGCCTGTAATTCTGGCTACTTGGAAGGCTGAGACAGAAGATCACCGGAGCCCAGCAGGTCGACGCTGGGGTGGCTGTTAGCATCCCACTGCACTCTAGCCTGGGTGACTGAGTGAGGCTTTGACAAATAAACAAACAAATAAATAAATAACTTTAAAAAATAAATAATAAAATAAAATATTCTATTAGTCACTCACACTACTCAATGTATCACCATTGAAAAGCCACACATAACAACAGGAAAACAATAATTATAGCAAGGAGTTATCTTTAAGTATCTAAAATAACTCATTTAGCTTTAAATCAAGGAGATTATAACTATTCTACAATATAAAATAGTCTACTACTATTCTTATCTAAATTAATTAGAACTGGCAAAAAATTGTAAACAGCAATTTGACAGTGCAAAGATGGTTTCACATATGTAAAAGGATTCTCTTAACTGAAGGAATAGAAGGTTTCCAGCTTGGATTAATACTAACATTACTAAGAAATATAAAGTCGACAGGGTGATGATGGATTTAAATAAAAAGTGTGCACACCAGAAAGAGAAAAATAAGCAAAATAATTAAAAAAATATAAAATCACTTAAGGGGCCAGGTTGGTAGCTCAGCCTGTAATCCCAGCAATTTGGGAGGCCAAGATGAGTGTATTGCCTGAGCCCACGGGTTCGAGACCCACCTGGGCAACTTGACGAGACCTCATCTCTACAATAAATCAAAAATTAACCGGGCGTGGTAGTACACGCCTGTACTTCTGGCTACTTGGAAGGCTGAGGCGAAAGGATCTCTAGAGCCCAGCAGGTCGAGGTTGTGGTGGCTGGGAGCATGCCACCACACTCCAGTTTGGGTGCAGAGTGAGATTCCAACTCAAAAATAATAATAATAATAACTTAAGGACAATACTTTTTAGAAGATGAGAATTAACTCATCTTACATAAGTTTTATATAATATACTTAATGAACAGCAACTAGTAATTTTGGTACAATGAATATAAACTACACCTTTAAAAATTCTCAAATTAAAACCCAATCAAACTGGAATTTTTAAAAGTCAGTGTATTTTGTGAAACATACATAGAATAATCCAAAGAACAATGACTAATAAAACTTTTTTTTGAGTTTCAAAATGTGTTATATAAGCAATTTAAGGGTTGACCTTCTAGCTCACATATACACAATACTTGACCCTATTTAATCAGTTCTTGGTTAGAAACAAAGCAACACCAAAAAACCCATCTCCTAACTTTATCACAGGCTGATTGCTGCCCAAGAACTATAATGATATCCCCTGATACACGGAAAAAGTATTTAATAAGAAGTTCTGGGTATTGATCTTGATATCTTCCACTAACTTTTGTATAAAACTGAGATGACAGGAACACATATTGGTAAATACAGAAAACAGTTTCATTTTTTTTATACTCCAAGCATCCAGGTCAGGCTCTGGCACATAGTTGGTGCTCAATTAATGTTGGATGAAAGGCAAGGGAAGGAGGTTCCTAGAGATCTTTGAGACAGAAGGATTATAGAAGCCACTGGGTGAAAAACAACCCATCTAGTAGTAAGAAAACTGATAGTGGCTATAAGATTTTGGCAAGAGAGAACCAATACTATCCAGAAGGAAAGGTCACAGAACCAAGAACTAACAAAAAATGTTTCATGGCAGAAATAACTGACCCTGTTCTCTCTAATCAATGAAATGGGTGAATAAACAAAGCAGTTTCTGTGTCATGTCCAAGGGCTCAATGGGCTGTTAAATAAACTCAAACATTAAAAATGGGGGTCCAAATATAAGGATACCAGGTTTGTCAGAAAAAAACGGGAGTCAATTATCACTGGAAGCAGAACTTGATGAACAAAATGGTAGTATAGCTCTTAGAAAAATATAGTGGGAGAAAAAGAATTACATTATATAAGCTATTACTAAAGTTGAACTTAATCATTTTCTTCTAATTAAAATAGAAATTTCCATATAACAAGGGATATCTAAGAACAGATCATAGCATCAAGTCTTATACAATAAAGAAGAGCTTCATTTTAAAAGATGGGGTTCAACGATCTGTGACAGCATGCTTTTCATTCCAAACACTTAAAACTCTGAGCTCTTTATCCTGCTTAAATAATAAAAAGATATCATGAAGAAAAAATATTTAATTTTTTTACACTACCTTTTTCTGTGCTCCCATTTATTTTAGGTAAGAAGTCATCAACTTGTATCCCTAGGATTAAGACAGTATATCATTGCCTGATCAAAGAAAGTATTACTTTAAAACTGGTCTCAAGTGTAACCATGGTTTTTTTTTATTCCTGCTAAGACTGAGATTGTATAGAACACTTCGAATATATTTTTACAAGAAGGGTTCAACTTGCCATTTTATATTAGTGCAAAGAAAAAGCTAAAACTATTTAGTGGACTTCCAATGAACAGTAAAAGAAAAAGGACCCTGCTGCTCATATACTTTTTAGAATTAGATATCTCTAAGTAGAACATCTCATATGCAGAAATTTTATTCATCTCAAGGACTAAACAATGGTGCCCACTGGTGGCAACCAAACATATTTTTAAAGAAAATCTTCTAAAAGAGTGTAGATATTTTATGACTAAAATGTAAAATGTCCCTTAAAATCAACTCCCAATGTGAGACAGTAAACAAGGTCAAAAGTTTAGTGATAAAATTCAGCTTTAAATAAGAAATATGGATGACACCTACCTAAGCTGTTGCATTCTTTAAGAGTTTTCTCCTGAAGATGTTCTAACCGTACTGTAAATAAAAGTCCAAAAAAAGATATTTCACAGATAAAAAGAAAAAAAAATCAAATTAAATCAATTTCTGGAATTAGCTAACTTACCTTGTAAAGCTGTTAGCCTTTCATTGGTGAAATCATTATCAGCTTGCAAAGCTTCTATTTTTGCCTGGAGCTCCTGTTCTTTTTCTTCCATTTCATCTATTTTATGCTGTAATTCTTTTTTCTCAGCTTGTCCCTTCTGCTGGATTTCCTCTTGTTTCCCCTCTGCTACCTAATGAAAAAGAAAAAAATTCAGTTATTTAATAAAACCTGACCTTGTTTAAGAGGCCTAAGCCAAGAATGCCTTTATTCACTTAAACTTCTAGAATGTGTTTAGAAAGCTGGGTTTTCCAGCCAGGTGCAGTAGCTCACACTTGTAATCCCAGCACCTGAGAGGCCGAGGTGAGAGGATTACCTGAGCCCAGGGTTCAAGACCAGCCTGGACAACATGAAGAGACGTCGTCTCTACAATAAATGAAAAAATTAGCTGGGCATGGTGGTGCATGCCTGTAGTTCCAGCTCCTTGGAAGGCTGAGGCGGAAAGATCACCTGAGCCCAGCAGGGTGGTGGCTGTGAGCGTGCCACTGCGCTCCAACCTGGGCAACAGAGTGAGACTCTGATTCAAAAAAAAAAAAGAAATCTGGTTTTTCTGCACACGTATGTTTATCGCAGCATTGTTCACAATAGCAAGAACCTGGAACCAACCAT